ATACATATTCAGTAAGGATTCTTCTTGAAAGGGTATAGCATTTTTGGGATTCTGACAAGTGTTCAATCCATCCCTTGCGCGACCTCTGCTCTCTATTTTTCATACTTGCTTGCTGATACCATTCAAATACGGCATGTATACCAAAACCTATCGATTCACAGTCAAGGTATACCTCATACATATATTGGCTCTCTGGCAACTCTATCAAGCTATTTAGGTAATCTACGCGATATCCTGGTCAAAGCCATATGAAACTTTCCGGGAAATCAACTCCAAAACAACGTGGCCTCCTTTTCTGTCTACGAACTCGCCTGCCCGCACCTGGCGCAGCCCTTAAATTTCTGGCTTTTGTGGGGGGATTTCGGGCTGCTGGGGAGGCGTGGGTAGGATGTCAGGCTTTCGTGGGAGGATTTCCGAGCTTTCGGGGAGTATTTCGGGCTTTCGTGGGGAGGATTAATTCTGGGTTGGGGAGGATGTCCGGCTTTCGTGGAGGATTTCGGGCTTTCTTGTGAAGGCCTGGCAATGAAACATAATGGAACGGATCTAGTGAGCACATGACTGCTTGCATTCTCCTTGCATTCAGCTTTTGCTTCAGTTGCTCTCCGAAATCATTAGAGTGGTGTTTCGTATAAGATATCGAAATACAACCCCAAGTAAGGTGCGTATGCGCCTATTCCTGAGCCCCTATGAATTAATCTTCTGCATGGAGTCTCTGCCTGAAAGGAAACTCCACCGCAAGCCGGGCACCTACGATATTACAAGAAGAGTAACCACTCCCTGGACCATGACCCACCAAACCCTAAACCCCACCCACTGAACGCTAAGCCCCAGGTCCTAAGGCCCCCACGCCGATCAGCATGTCAACGGCCTTCAGGGTGCCTTCAAGCACCCTACAGAGAACGCTTGGGGAACCGCGAACAAAACGCCACTATAATGCACTTCTCGATTTGTGCGTGTCATCGGGTTTAAGGGTTTCCGGGTTTAGGGTTTACAGGACTTCGGCAACCATAAGCCCGAAACCCTTTTCTGTATCTGGACTTACGCAATCGCCAGAGACAAGCCCTAAAGCGTAAACCCTAGATTAGGGGACAGCATCAATGGACACATCCTCAACCCTTACCTCGCCGAACCCTTCTACAGTCCTATGGAATCCAAATAGCCCCTTACTCATTCCCAAATCCCATGAACACCTTAAAACGGCACATCCTTAGAAAACCCTACTTGGCTTCGGCAAGGCTTGGCGATCAGATCGGCTTTGGGTTGACTGTGACTTTTGCTACGATGACGCCGAGGAGACGTATGAAAACACCTGACGCTGAATCACGTCGCCGAGAACAGTGGCAGCGGCCCTGTTTTCTATTCTGCTCATCTGGACATGGTAGGAGGATCACGGCGCATACGCCCCTATAGGGGAGCTCTCCTAACTACGCCAAGAACCGCAAGGGAGCCTTGTCGAGACTGTACAAACGGCTTCTCTTGCCTGGACACAGGACCGCAAGCCAAAGAGCAGAGCGGCGGCCCTTCCATGGTGGAGCTCAAGACCCCATGTGACCCCGCCAAAGATGGGGCAGGTTGCCGCTTTAGCCTCTTGCCAAGCAGTCAATTAAAACCTCGTCGTCGGCTCGGCCGACTTGGTAGCGTGTGTAGCTCTAAGCATAAACTCCCGAAAGCTAGACCCTCACCACATTTCAGCAAGAACGCAAGAAAAGGGAGAAGAGTCCTTTGAAGGTGCACCCCTGCAAGAAATTATTCTGGGAAGTGTTCGCGACTGCAGCTCATGAGTTAGAGGCTTGCGTTCCAGCGCCATTCAAACTTCAATTAAGCTGTCCTTGCTTGGGTTGGGCTCAGGAATCCAGAGCCTTGGGCTTTGATGGCTTGTGGTACACTAAGCTCTGAGGCTTACACTGTCTGAAGGTTGACTCTTGTAAGGGATGTACATCGAGCTGATGGAAATTTAGATTGTGTTTGGTTCAGAAACGCTCGGCAAGCAGGGCTGGTGTTTACACTTTGGCCCCAAATCGAAATGAGCAAAACGAAGACGAAATTGACGGACGAGACGAGGGGGGCGTTTTCAAGCAGTTGAGTTGAATCGGTCGGGTCTAGCTTGACTATCCCACCTGGGTTTGAGGCTCACGCATTTTCAGCCTGGGAAATGGGTAGTGTCTGCCATCATCACCCTGAACACAACCAGCTAAACCCATGCTAAAGCCATAAACACCTCAACCGACAGACCATGCCCGCAAGCATACATCTCCTCGCAAGGCCCGAATAAACGCCAAACTCAAAATGCTAAGCCCTAAACCCCTCCTTTTCCTTCCGGACGACGGTGGGTGTGTGCCGCCTGGGTGTCAGGAGACCCCACCTTGGAGCGAGCGGCGTATTTCACGATTCCACGGCTTGGGCCCGAGTGTTGATATAGAGCTTAGTTAAGTTTGTTGAGGACATTGCAGAGCCAACCTGCAACGGCCTGGCCTAGGTAGCTTAGGCTTCTCGGCTCCAGGACATGAGGGCTTCGGAAATCAACAAGATGTTCACACAAATTCCTAGGGGGCCCAGGTTCAGCCGACACCCCTGCAAACCCCATTGTCCTATCGAAAGGGACCTAGCAGATCACCTACCACCAGGAGACCCCAGGAGACAAACGATTGACCATGCTGCCATTCCAAGCTCCGCTCCAAACTCAAAGCCTGCTCCCTGACATGAACGTACCCGGGGGCCTGACCAGCGTTCGCATTCACAGAAAAACGCAATCCACCCGCCAGACCTTAGCCTCCTTAACCTCCTTAACCCTGAGGTCCTACCTCTTAAACCCCATAGCTCTAAAACCCCAAAGCCGCGACAGCCTGAAGCCCTGAGCCATAATCCCCGAAAACGGATCTTGACATCAGGCATTTGACTTGAGAGGAGGCACTCATAAATGCAGCCGCAATGGCGGCCAATTCCTGCGCCATGCAGGGTTTTCAGCTGCTACGGTTACTTGTCCTCTCCTGCACCATCCTGCTGATCAAGCATGTCGTGCAAGATCCCCAGACGACTGCCGTTAGCGACACCAGGTCCTTTCATTGTAGCTCAGTTTCCGGAACCCAACACGTCGGATGATTTTTTCCAGACCTTGGCATGGGCGAAGATTTGAGACCGCAGAAACTGTGGCTGCACTACAGGACAAACCAGCAAGCAAAGCCGAACTCAACACTTTACAGTGGAAACTTCACCGGGAGATTTAGCTCAGACATCATCAGCATACTCAAGGTTCGGGTCAGTGTATATGGAAAAACTGGTCTGGTCTCTTGATTTTCCTGGACCCCCTCGAAGCCTGCGCTGGACTGCTGGACCTACGCTGAAAGGGCGGAACGGTTTTTGTTTTCCTAAGTCTGGTCCGCCCCGTTTTGTTTTCCTAGGTCTGGTCGCTGGTTTTGGTTGCAAACACGGCAAACTGCAGCATTTGCTTCTGTTTTGCATCAAACTACTGGGGAACTACAATTTGCGGGGTTTGGTTTTGCTTGTGTTTTGCATCAAACTATTGGGGAATTACCATGGGCAGGGTCTTGTTTTGCTTGTGTTTTGCATCAAGCTATTGGGGAACTACAATCTGCAGGGTCTGGTTTTGCTTGTGTTTTGCATCAAGTTATTGGGGAATTACCATGTGCAGGGTTTTGTTTTGCTTGTGTTTTGCATCAAGCTATGGGGGAACTACATTTTGCAGGGTCTGGTTTTGCTTGTGTTTGGCATCAAGTTATTGGGGAATTACCATGTGCAGGGTTTTGCTTTGCTTGTGTTTTGCATCAAGCTATGGGGGAACTACATTTTGCAGGGTCTGGTTTTGCATGTGTTTTGCATCAAATTATTGAGGAATTACCATGTGCAGGGTTTTGCTTTGCTTGTGTTTTGCATCAAGCTATGGGGGAACTACATTTTGCAGGGTCTGGTTTTGCTTGTGTTTTGCATCAAGTTATTGGGGAATTACCATTTGCAGGGTCTTGTTTTGCGGGTGTTTTGCATCAAGCTGTTGGAGAATTGCTGTTTGCAGGGTCTTGTTTTGCATGTGTTTTGCATCAAGCTATGGGGGAACGTACCTACAGTTTGCAGGGTTTGGTTTTGCTTGTGTGTTGCATCAAGCTATTGGGGAACCACAATCTGAAGGGGCTTGTTTTGCTTGTGTTTTGCATCAAGCTATTGGGGATTTGCAGGGTCTGTTTTGCTTTTGTTCAGCATCAAGCTCTGGGGGAACTACAATTTGCAGGGTCTGGTTTTGCTTGTATTGGGGAATTACCATTTGCACGGTCTTGTTTTGCTTGTGTTTTGTAACTTTGTTTTTTTTCGCTTTTCCCACCTTCTCTGCTTTTTACTGATATTTTCAACCCTCTGAAAGCGTTTTTTCGTCTGGCATTCTCCTTCTTCTGTGTTGGCGAACATGCTTTCGTTCAGTTCTTTGCGGCTTAAGAGAGCAGGGAGTTTAGCCTAAAAAGAAGCGCTGGGTTTGGGAGGCCCCCCTCTTTGCAAACATTGCAAATCATTCATGATTGCTTTTGTTTTTTGTTTTTTACCCCCACTGGAGCGTTTTCGTCCGGTTTTCTTCTGCTTGTGTGTTGCCGAACACGCTTTTATTCATGTCTTCGCAACCCAAGAGAGCGGTTAGTTCAGTCTAAAACCAGCGGAAGGGTTGGGGGGCGAACACGCGTTTATTCATGCCTTCGGGGCTTCAGAATTATGGGAGCCCGGTTCGAAACAGCGGGGGATTTGGGGGGGCGCAGCTGCAAACGTTCGAAATCATTCATGATTGATTTTCTTTTCTGTGTTTTTAACCTCCCTATGAAGCGTTCTCGTTTGGCTTTCTCCTTGTGTGTTGGCGACAACGCTTTCCTTCATTGCTACGCGGCTTGTGAGGGCAGGGAGTGTAGTCCTAAAGAAGCGGGGGGGTTGGGGGGGAGCCCCCCCGCATTTGCAAATCGTGCAAATCATTCACGATTCATTCTATTGTCTTCGCGTCTAACCCCCTTGAAGCGTTTTCGTCCAGCTCTCTCCTTGTTGTGTGTTGGCGAAGACGAAAAGTGTAGAGTAAAACAAGGGGGGGTTGGCGTCCTTCCATCATTCATGATTGATTCTGTTTTCCTTGTTCACTTTTTTTGCGGCTTCAGAGAGAGGGTAGGTTCAGTGTACAAAAGCGAGGGGTTGGGGGGGCGCAGGCCCCCCCCCCCTTTGCAAACGTTCCGAATCATTCGAAATTGATTGTACTTTGCTGGTTGTTGCCCCTGAAGCATTTTCGTTTGGCTTTCTCTTTTTCGTGTGGTGACGAGCAATTGATTTTGCAGTTTTCAAAGGAAAATCCCCTTGAAGCGGTTTCGTGTGGCTTTCTCCTTCTTGTGTGTTGGCGACTACGTTTTTCCCCAAACAGGTACGGTTTGGGGTTCTCTCCTCAGAAAAAAGGTGGGCCGCGGTGGGTTGGATGGCTGGGCCGCGGCAAACTGGCTGGGCTCCCATTGGGCTCCCTTCATGTTTCCTTTCTGGGCTCCTGGGTTGGACGGGTGGGACGCGGCAAAGGACCTGGGCTTTATTGGGCTCCCTTCATGTTTCCTTTCTGGGCTCCTGGGTTGGACGGGTGGGCCGCGGCGAAGGACCTGGGCTTTATTGGGCTCCCTTCATGTTTCCTTTCTGGGCTCCTGGGTTGGACGGGTGGGCCGCGGCAAAGGACCTGGGCTTTATTGGGCTCCCTTCATGTTTCCTTTCTGGGCTCCTGGGTTGGACGGGTGGGCCGCGGCGAAGGGCCTGGGCTCCCATTCACTTCCCTTCTGTTTCTTTTCTGGGCTCCTGGGTTGGACGGGTGGGCCGCGGCGAAGGACCTGGGCTCCCATTCGCTTCCCTTCATGTTTCCTTTCTGGGCTCCTGGGTTGGACGGGTGGGCCGCGGCAAAGAACCTGGGCTTTATTGGGCTCCCTTCATGTTTCCTTTCTGGGCTCCTGGGTTGGACGGGTGGGCCGCGGCAAAGAACCTGGGCTTTATTGGGCTCCCTTCATGTTTCCTTGCTGGGCTCCTGGGTTGGACGGGTGTGCCGCGGCGAAGGACCTGGGCTCCCATTCATTTCCCTTCATGTTTCTTTTCTGGGCTCCTGGGTTGGACGGGTGGGCCGCGGCGAAGGACCTGGGCTCCCATCGCTTCCCTTCATGTTTCCTTTCTGGGCTCCTGGGTTGGACGGGTGGGCCCCGGCGAAGGACCTGGGCTTTATTGGGCTCCCTTCATGTTTCCTTTCTGGGCTCCTGGGTTGGACGGGTGGGATGCGGCAAAGGACCTGGGCTTTATTGGGCTCCCTTCATGTTTCCTTTCTGGGCTCCTGGGTTGGACGGGTGGGCCCCGGAGAAGGACCTGGGCTCCCATTCACTTCCCTTCATGTTTCTTTTCTGGGCTCCTGGGTTGGACGGGTGGGCCGCGGCGAAGGACCTGGGCTCCCATTCGCTTCCCTTCATGTTTCCTTTCTGGGCTCCTGGGTTGGACGGGTGGGCCACGGCAAAGAACCTGGGCTTTATTGGGCTCCCTTCATGTTTCCTTTCTGGGCTCCTGGGTTGGACGGGTGGGCCGCGGCGAAGGACCTGGGCTCCCATTCACTTCCCTTCATGTTTCCTTTCTGGGCTCCTGGGTTGGACGGGTGGGCCGCGGCAAAAGACCTGGGCTTTAAGAAATGGGCTCCCTTCATGTTTCCTTCCTGGGCTCCTGGGTTGGACGGGTGGGCCGCGGCAAAGAACCTGGGCTATCATTGGGTTCCCTTCATGTTTCCTTCCTGGGCTCCTGGTTTGTACGGGTGGGCTGCGGTAAAGGACCTGGGCTCCCATTGGGCTCCTTTCATGTTTCCTTTCTGGGCTGCTGGGTTGGACCTGGACTCCCGTTGGGCTCCCTTCATGTTTCCTTGGGCCGCGGCAATCCCGTTTACCTCCCTTCATGTTTCCGTTCTGGGCTCCTGGATTGGATGGGTGGGCCGCGGCAAAGGGATTGGGCTGCCAATTGGGTTTCCTTGCTGTTTCCTTTCTGGGCTCCTGGGTTGGACGGGCGGGCCGCAGCAGAGGGCCTGAGCTCCCGCTGGGTTCCCTTAATGTTTCCTTTCTGGGTGCCTGGTCTGCCACAAACGTCTACAGCAGAGGCCAGGTATCCGGTATCCTGTCTTGCAAGGCAGCAATGCTGTAACAGTTGTGTGTTTTTCCGTGCGCTGCTGCAGCAAGATCCTGTGGACGACGTTCTTGGTTCGGTTTGCGGAAAAATTGTCAATGGTTCCGTATAAGGAAAATATCTGTTTGCGATGTAAGCCGACTCCTTCGCTTTTCTTTTTTGCCCTGCTTGTGCAGCAGAGTTGCCCGTCTTTCCCGTGCGACAGCCGACCGATCCGTATACTAATCTCTTTTGTGCTTCTTCCACGAACGTCTACAGCAGAGGCAAGGTATCCTGTCTTGCAAAACGGCAAGGTTGTGACACTTGCGGGAAACTTGACGCAAGATCCTGTGGACGACGCTCTTCGTTCGGTCTGCGGAAAAAATCGTCAATGGTTCCGTGCAAAAGAAGATTTTCGTTCGCCTTAGAAGCCGACAAACCTCTTCGCACTTCTTGTTGCCAAGTTTGCACGGCAAAGTTCCCAATCTGCTCCGTCCGACAGGCGACCGATCCGTATACCAACCTGCTTCGTGCTTCTTCCGCAATCATCTACAGCAAAAGTCAGGTATCCTGTTTTGCAAAGCAGCAATGTTGCAACAGTTAGTTGATCGAATACGACGTTCCCCGTCCTTGTATAGGTAACATGTCTGACTGTGTAGCTTAATGTGCCAATGACATGATCTTTGGCTCAAGTAATGAGAAGAGAGGTACGCTTGCAGCTTGTGTTCCTCTTCGGGCTGGGCTTCCCTTTTGGGTTTCTTTGCCTTGCCCGGCGATCCTACCCCAATATCGTTGTGCTGCTGTTGAGGGTCGGGTTAACTCAGTTGCGGGAAAGTTGTGTGTGTGTGTATGTGTGTGTTCTCCGTGCGTGGTTTCCGCGGAAGTAAGATCCTGTGGACGAAGTTCTTCGGTCGGTCTGTGGAAAGATTCGTCAGTGGTTCCGTGTAAAAAACGATCGATATTTATTTCGCTTTGTAAGCCGACACACCCCTGTGCGGTCTTCCTTTCGCCAAGTTTGCGCGGCAAAGTTCCCACTTTTCCCCGTGCGACAGCCAACCGATCCGTGAATCAACCTCTTCTGTGCTTCTTCCACAAACGTCTACGGCAGAGGCCAGGTATCCAGTATCCTGTCTTGCAAGGCAGCAATGTTGTAACAGTTGCGGGAAGGTTGTGGTTCTTCCGTGCGTGGTTTCTGCGGCAGCAAGATCCTGTGGACGACGTTCTTCGTTTTGTCTTCGGAAAAAATCGTCAATGGTTCCGTGTAAAGGGGAACTTGTGTGTTTCTCCGTGCGTGGTTTCTGCGGCAGCAAGATCCTGTGGACGACGTTCTTCGTTTTGTCGGCGGAAAAAATCGTCAACGGTTTCGTGTAAAGAAAATTTTTGTTTGCGATGTAAGCCGACAAACCCCTTTGCGTTTTTTTTTGCCAAGTTCGCGCGGCAAAGTTCCTACCTTTTCTCGTGTGGCAGCCAACCGAGCTGTATACCAACTTGTTTTGCGCTTCTTCCACAGACGTCTACAGCAGAGGCCACATATCCTGTCTCGCAACACGGCAATGTTGCGTGTTTTTTCCGTGCGTGGTTGCTGCGGCAGCAAGATCCTGTGGATCTTCGTTCGGTCTGCGGACAAAATCGTGAATGGTTCCGTGTAAAGAAAGATTTTTGTTTGCCTTGTAAGCCGACAAACCCATCTGCTCTTGTTTCCGCCATAATTGCGCCGCAAAGTTCACACTTTTTTCCCGTGCGACAGCCAACCGATCCGTATACCAACCTGTTTTGCGCTTCTTCCACAAACGTTTACGGCACAGGCCACATATCCTGTCTTGCAAAAGCAAAACGGCAATGTTGTGTGTGTTTTTGTTCCGTGCGTGGTTTCTGCGGTAGCAAGATTCTATGGATCTTCGTTCGGTCTGCGGAAAAAGTCGTGAATGGTTCCGTGTAAAGAAAGGATTTTGTTTTGTGTTGTAGGCCGACGCACCCCTGTGCACGCTTTTTTTCGCCAAAATTGCGCGGCAAAGTTCACACTTTTTTCCCGTGCGACAGCCAATCGATCCATATAGCAACCTCTGTTGTGCTTCTTCCTTGAATGTCTACAGCGGAGGCAAGGAATCCTGTTTTGCAAAACGGTAATGTTATGAAAATTGTGGAGAAGTTGCGTTTTTTCTTTGTGCGGTTCCTGCGGCAACAAAATCCTGTGGACAATGCTCTTCGTTCGGTCGGCAGAGAAAACGTGAATGGTTCCGTGTTAAGAGAGCTTTTTGTTTGCCTTGTAAGCCGACAAATCCCTTCCTACCTTTCTTGCCAAACATGCACGGCAAAGTTCTCGTTTTCTTCCCGTCCGACAGCCACTCCCAAAAACCTTCCCACATGCTTGAGTCCCACCACCCACTTTTCTTTCGCAGAAATATGTCGCCCAATGCCTAATTCTTCTTCGCAAAATCTGCTGGCGAAGCCAGATTGGGACCCAACACATTCCAATTTGAACCGGTATGATTCGATGTATTCTGTTTGGGGTCTTCGCTGGTGTAATTGTTCATTTCTTCGCTTCTTAAGAGAGCGGGGGGTTAACTTAAAAAAGCGGGGGGTTGGGGGGACGCACCCCCCCTCCATTTTCAACGTTCCAAATCATTCATGACTGATTGCATTTGCTTTGTTGTAATCCCCCTAACTTAGCGCTATTGAGATTGGTGTTTCAGTGGTGCCGCGGCCACTATAGATCGTAAATCAAAGTCATCAAAGCTACGTGTCCTTTCAGGGTTTAGGGTTTAACGGTAGAGGCCCCAACCTATAAAAACCCTTCAGCGGCCTTCATACGGTTGATGGTCAATATCCTGCATGAGGAATCTATACCATAATTCCCGTACTTTAGGGTCCGTAAGGCAACGCAGGATTTTGACCATCAACCGTAGTAGGCTCCCGAATCATGCCCTTGGTAGGGGAGAAGACTCAGCGATCTGCATTGCCCCCGACCCTCCGAAAATCTCTGAGCCGTAAACGACCCGGAAGTCCCAGTAGCACAGTGCAAGCAGTGTAGTGGTATTGAACCCTCACGAACTTCGAGCTTCAAACTCCGAATACCCTGAGCCCCTCAACCCCCAAGAAAGCCTGAACCCTGCAACCTAAACGAAAAAACCGTCAAATCTCGACAAGGCCGGGCCGCATGAAGGAGACGCAGTTCTTGGGCAGCGCGCCCAAGCCGTCGGACGTCGTGATGGCGGCCAAGGCCCGATAGATGAGGCCATACCTGGGCTGTAGATTTAGGGTGTAGGGGATCGAAGAAGATTGTAAACAAAAGGCTTCAACAAATTCCATAAGAGGTGTAGGCTTCAAGCAGGACGACTGTAAGGGTTACTAAAAGGCTACTAGAAGGGATTCAGGGTTACTGTACTGGGTTCTAGAAAACAGGATTCCTATCCTTTCATGTTTGTATTTGGAGTTCAGACGCTGAGTTCCCGCTGTTTTGGGGGCTGAGGGCTTCGGGCTTTCGGGTGAGGAACGCATCAGGGGACTTGCTCAACACAGGTCACACTTTGAGTCACAAGCACCACTTTTTGGCTCTCACCACATGCACAAACTGTCTGTACTTAAGCTAGTCACGAGAACAATACCTCGAATATCAGGAGTTAAAGGCACACGAAGAAGGGCTTTCCTGATGAAAAACCTCACCCGTCCTTTCGTTTTTTGTCTCAAAGTTTACGGTTCAAGGTTGGGGGTTTAGGCACTACGGTTTGGGAGTCTGTAGCAAGGCCCTGAAAGCTAAAGCCCTAAGACATAGGCACGAAGTCATTTGGGTCTCAGCCGCACGCCGTGGACGAAGGCATGCGATCATCGTTGGGGATCGGAAAGGCACTGCGGAAGAGGTGGAAGGTGCCTCAGTTCAATGTACATGGCGAGCTTCTGGGTTCTAGAAGAACAGACAGTACCCCAACACCTGGAAGCTTGAACTCCTAAAGATAAAGATCCCCTGATTAAGAGACCTAGAACCCAAAACAAATCCGAAAAGCCGGTGAAACCCCAAAAGTCGAAGGCACATGGAGCGACGATGCAGCCGGCCAGCGCGCCGATGAGCTGCGCTGCTGCCATGGTCCTGGAAGACTTCGGTCCCTCCCGAAGACCGAAAAAAGCAATTAATGCCAAGTTCTTGAGTGGTCGATTGCAGAAGACCATTCGATGTTTAATGAAACTTGAAGCTTGGTTTTCAATGACATTTCACTCTCCTTCTTTGTTTGTCCCAGGCACGTTGGAGAGAGGACTCCAAAAACTGGGTGCAAGCCGCCGACTTGCGGGCGCGGACGAAGGTGGCGTAGGACTCCTTCAACTGCCTGTCACGGCAATCACTTGATGTGCGCATACGAAGGGAGAAAGAACCGAATTAGCATTTTCGGCTCCCATCGGACAGCAGCCGAAACCAGAACCCCGTCACCGAGGACTATGCTCGTCTGCCTGAACCCTGCGCGGCATGTGGTGGTGTAGCTCTGGAGCATATTGCTGGCCGCACGCGTAGCCTTCACATGCTCCTGAGAAGCCTGGCAGTCGCCGGGTTGGGCAATAGGGTTGGTCAGGTGCGGGGCCTGGCTTCGACGAGACAGACATGGGTGAAAGAGACTTCCCACTTGGAGCCAGCATTGGTTCCCACGATGTCCGTGATGCATCTGCAATGCCCAAAAGATCATCCCTCGCTGCAGGAGCTCTTGCGGTCTACTATTTCGCGATTGCTTACGACAGCCTTTTCGACACCCAGTGCACAAAGCAAAACTGCGCTTCCAACCTGTTTTAAGTACAGGGACCCCGCCTGCAGGTAATCATCAAGATGCCTGCGCACGGTCCGCCATGTGCTGTCGAAGAACCGCAAAGCCTTCTGAGCGTTGCGCAAGCTCTCATGCTCTTTGGATACGCGTTCTGCATCCCCAAGTGCCCATTTGTCTGTGAATCAGCATCGGAAAAGCAAAAACAAGGCATTGAAACATCTCGGCGGCTTGATCCGCAGTCAAACTCTACACCTGCCCCGCAACCACTGCAAGCTCCTTGATTGCTGAAGAATTGGACAATTCACGTTCAGGTCTCCTCTGCTTGCTGCTCACACAGGATCTCCTATGACGTGCCTTTAGAGATCTTACAAGGCTCTCCTCTTAAGCATGCCTTTGCCGCCAACAGCATCAGCAGCAACAGCACCAGAACGGCAGCAACAGCACGGCAGCAGCAGCACCATCACCACCATCAAAAGGAAGAAGATGATCTACCCGACAAGTGCACCTCGTTCCCCATCTGCTTCACCAACGGATTCGCTGCGGTTTCATTTGCTCCGGTTGGGGTCAACATGTAAACTTGAGGTGCGGGGTTTCTCGTCTGACCGGGATGTCTGGCAAATCAGGCAACCCCGAAGCTCCCACAAAAAAAACAACAGATGGTTAGAGATGAGTCGATTTCCGTATCATTCACAGGAAAGATCGAACAGAGCGTCCACACTGCAAGGACCATGCAAAAAAGACCCCCAGCGAAGGGCAACCACAGTAAAGGCCAAAGCCGCATAGTGCTCCAGAAGCAGCTGCCTCGGCTGCGAGGGATGCCAGGCCAAGGTCTCAAAGGCAGCGCCTGGGTGCTAAATACCTACCAGCTGCCAACAGATTCTCCAAATTCTTCTCAAGCGGCGTGTTCTGTCCCACGACGGACAAGGCATGCTCGAGGGCTCGTAGAATGGCATCATCGCCTTTCCTGCAAAAGCACGGTCGCAGCGACGATCCGTTGCAGTGCATCAACTGCAGTAGAACGGAGTGGGGAGTGACAGAGACAGGAGCTAGGAGAAAAATCTGGAAAAGGTTCGTGTCGCAGCAAATCTGTCGACTTGGAAAAGCAAGAAAACGCAGGCCTCAATGGGTTGAACTAACCTGGAGCTGTGGGGCACACACGCACAGGCACACAGAGCCCCGAAGCCAACTTGAGGGCCGAGGGCCTTCAGCCTTCAGCCCTGAACTAGAAACCAAGATCTCAACTCAACACCATGACCAAAATCCATCAGCCGTAATTTCACACAAAGAAAGCTCCTTGAAGCTTCGTTTTTGTCCCCCAAACGGGCTCTTGCGGCCCTATGCCCTAATTTGCCCTCACCTCGCAGTCTTGGGGTCCGTTGGGCTATACGAACATCAGGCATCAGGCTCTCACGATCTCTCACGTCAGCATTCTACAATAATCTCTGGCGCCGCGGCCTCACGGCGTCTCTGATGCAGTGCAGATCGCAGAAGCTCCGTGCGAAGCCGAGCTGAAGCGGGTCGCAGGCTGCAACCTGCGATCTGTTTGAACAGAAGGCTGCTGAAGCGCGACACTGTGAAAATTCCAAGTCTACTACCAAAGTTGGTAGTCAATGCCCCTCCATTGCGCTGACACACACGTTGCATTCAAGAAGTGTTCACAGGGATGAAAAACACGACGGCGAAACAGTCTGTCATGCTTAAGGTTGGCACCCCTGCACGGCCTCCGCCTTGACACCGGTAAGCTGAGCCAATTTCTCCTTCGCTTCGTTCGCCATGTCCTTGACGGTCATCGCGAGCCCGCCTGGACAGCTCAAACTTCGTGCACCAGTACTGCTTGGCCGTGAAGCCCACGATACGATGGCCGAGATGGCTCGCAGTACCGTCGGCTCTGAGCCTTCTGAGGCCGGCATGGGACAAATGAAGCAACAAAACCAGGGGCAGATCCAGGCCGCACAGCGGACCTTTTTGAGTATGGCAGTCAAGGCTGTACACTCAACGCGACCCTATCATGTGCCTACCATCTCGACAACTCCAACCTAACGGGAAGAGCGGGCTTGTCCAAAAGGACCCGCCCTGACACGCAACAGCTCCGCCCAGTTTCACAACATCCTAGTTCAGTGACCAAGTACTTGCCCGCGTAGACCTTATTTGTTCCGATCGAACAGCGCCGATGTTGATGACCTCTTCAGTCACCCTCTAAGCCTCCAGATTGAGAGCCCTCACATGATCAAGTTTGTGCAAGAGGAGCATTGAAATCCCTGGTTTGACGCCGGCTGTCAACAGCAACTCACACGGCCTGCTTCCTCCATGGTGTCTCCAGGTTTCAACTCCGCACCCAGACCAAGGGGGGCCGTCTCTGCATTGGGCAGCGCTGCTGCAACGCTTTCCATGGTTGACCTTAGTCATCAACAGGCCGGCGCTGGGCCTCCTCTGTACGAGGTGTCGAAAACAGGATGACAAGTTGAATGATATGTTTAGCACCCAGTTCACAGCAGGCCCCTGCTGAAGTCCATATTGCCAGAGAACAACAACCGGAGCACTATCTTAAGCCGGAATGCTTGACCGTTGGCAGGTGGAAGTCCTGACGCAGTTTGAGCAGCAACAAGGGCTCCCAAGTGCATGCCCAAACTGTCCCACGCCGTGTACAAGTAACAAAAAGGAGACCAGCTTGTGACACAGACTCCTTGAGCACTATGCAGTGGATTGGTTCGGAGTGCTACATGTCTCCACGGATGGTAGCTGAAGCTGTGCGTAATACTTGGTGAGGCTGCTTGAACTTCCACTCCTTCAGCAGATGATGGTGCCAGGCTACGACAGTCCGTGAAGGCCAGATGCCTCACATTGACCCTGTTCTGTACACCCCCCGCCCACCCACCCCCCACGGCTCCCTTTTGCATGGCTAGGTTCCGCACGTCGGACATTTCATCCATTTCCCCAACAAACCTCGACCGTCTAAGCCCACCCTGCCACCCTGCCACCCGACAGACCCCGCAGCCCAAAAATAAACCAAGACCCTTTTGGCATTGTCCTCTCACAGCCACCCCTGTTCAACAGTTCGGCGCAACACTCTGTTCTGTGGCTGCGTGGGATCTAGGCATTCTCCAAGGATGAATTCATGAGGCACCAGTCCTGCTCGTCTTCTTCCTGTTCCAGCTCCCGCGCCCAGTCGTCGTCGCTGCCTCTGCAGCGCAGCGGCCGCAGTAGCAGTGGGGAGGTATGGCTGCAAGCAGGGGGAGCATCAGTAACGGCAGCTGCAGCGATATTTCCAGCAGCAGCATCATCAGCAGCAGGGAGGCAGCGGAGGAAGAGGCGGAGAAGACTGGCATTTGCTCATCTGCACCGCTGGCCGTCCGTATTGCAATCCAGACAAGTCACTCCGAATTTGTCGAACAGCTGCCAAAAACCCAAATTGTCGAACTGCCCTTCAACCACCCAAAGCAGAGGCCCTGGCACTCAATCACGTCCTTGTAGGTAACTCCCGGTGAAGATGGCTCCCCTGCAATAGCGTTCCAGAATCCTCGGCCGTCAGCTTGGTGGCTGGGAAGCAACTGAATTAGCACGACAGGCCCGATAGGCTCTCAAATCCACAGCCTCAAGCGCTTGCTCCACACGTGGAGGCCAAGGATCCCAATCCCACCGCATCAGCCACAGCTGAGACTGGATCTGCCGGTGCCTCTGCGTAGACGTTCCTCATAGAATGGCAAGACAATTCGATTTAGGGGCACCGTCTCTTCTCAAAAATACCGTTTGTGATTTTATGACTGCAGGAGCTCGTCGGTCGGTGTGGATCATGCCAAGATGCTTGCATGGATTCTCGTCATCCAAGGCCTCCGCAATTTGATTCATCTTGTTCCGGTCAAACTCTTCCGAGCCGGGATGCGATGGCTCCTGGCAAAATCCCGTTTCAGCAGACTAAGCTCCCTCCGACCCGCCACCTACAGGGCAAGCTTGCAAGTTCGTGACAGCTGCTATGACAAGTCCCGTCTCTCAAGACTGGCCTTGCGATTCAACACTGTGTAGCGCATGAGCCGTCCTTGCACTCTTCTGCATACTTGGGATTCTCCGCACCAAATTTGATGAGAGTGGCTGTCTTCTTCTTGTTCCCTGCGCTCGCAGCAGTTGATGTAGACATCGCAGATGCTGCTTTCTGGTCTAGGGGTCTAGTCTACGCCCCGACAACAACTCGGACGTGCAAATCCAAGCGTCCTGCCACTTGAGAGTCATGAGGTTTCACGCCCGTGGCTTCGAAGACGGCATCGGAGTCGCTTACCGGGCCGACGTGCCAAGCGATGTTGCCCATGACGCGGTCCAAGCGATGCGCTGCCTTCGTCCAAACAGGCGGACACGGAAGCGGCTATGCAAGAACTGCTTTTGTCCAAAGGTGCCTGGGGCTGCATAGCATGAAGTTTTCAACCATAGAACCGCAACTAACACATCTCCGCTGGGGGTCGTGGATCACTTGCATCCTTTTTTGGTGCCGCCCGGTGCCTCGTGTCTGGTATCGCTTGCGGGGTTTCACTTGTTCCGATGCAACAGTCTCACACTTGGCGGTTTGGGCTAAAGGGGCTGGGTCCTCACTCTTTACGATTTGTGGGGTTTTGGGTTTGCCTTGACTCCTTCGTGTGTTCGGTCTTTTGGGATTGCGACCATATTGCTGGATACAGTCGCAGCAGCTTTACAACTTCGGGTCTCAGCAATCCTTTAACACTTGGCTTTCGAGATGTAGGGTTATATACCGGCTTGTGTAACTATTCATACTGTTCCGTAGGGTTCCCTAAGAGATTTAGATAGTTAAACCAGAAAATACCCCAAAGTTTATTCTGATTACAAGTCCCTGAATATCGGTACGTAGGAGGGGCTCAGGGTGTCGGGGATTTACTTTAATTGGTTGGGCAAGCACCTCAAGGAACCCTTACGGGGCACCGGAAAAGAACCAGGATGTCACCCGACATTCACTAAACTCTAGACCCAACCCAAACCCCAAACTCTGAGCCCGAAGCCATACCCTAACCACCTAAAACCCTAAACTCCTGAACCCCCAGATCATAGATCCCTGAGAGGAAGGCACAACTAAGCGCAACACCACATCACGAGATAACAGACTCCCTCCGTCTGCTGACCACAGATGTGGGGTGTAGACTGTGTTGTATCTTGAGATGTCACGATGAGAGGACAAGGAAAACACAGCACCCTCTTCAGAAATCAGGCACCATGCAGGCTTTGTGAACCAACATTCAGTTGGTCCCTCTCTGCTACAGACATGTAACAGCCATCCATGGCACCTTCTTGCGGAGCTCTGCGGCCTTGCAGATCAGCGGGTGGACGCGGAAGCCGGTGCCACGGCGGTGAGAGCACTTCACTCCGAAGATGTCAGGACCTGCCTCGATCATCCTGGGGATCATCTCCTGATGTCACCCGGCTCCATTCCCAAACCCGAACTGCCCACTACTGTAAGGCTTCTATAACGGTTCCTTTGCTCTAGTATGAGGGTTCTACAAGGTTTTTTCAATTTCAGGCTCCATAACGTACTTTCAAGACTCTATAAGTCTATAACAGTCTTCAAGGGCTCTCTGATAGAGGCTTCAAGTTCTTGAGGGCCTTTTCATTGTTAGTTCTATGAGGCTTTCTGCAAGGTGTTCGAAGGGGTCTCCCGAATACTACCTAGGATTGAAGTATTAATTTCAAGATCCGGGCGCAGGTAGGAATTGAGGGCTACAGTTTTGGGGTCAGTCCAGCGGTGTTGTTGGTACTGTCAAAACAACTTTGGATGTAATGTAGACCCTCCCGTGTGTTCTCTGCAGTAGTTTCGGTGACATCCTTGCACGCGGGTACCGACGTGCCTCTAGCCGCTGTGTCACAAAACCCTAGAGACCCCAAGGCCGGTGCAGAACCAAAAGATCAAAGCCAAAACACCCAACGTCCACTACCACACCCAAGTCGGTTGCGGCACTCGGACAAACGCAAGCGAAGTCGTGCTTCCATCTAGGCACTCAGTTCGTGCTTCCATCTAGCTACCCATGAGGCGGCAGCTCCGAAACCCCAGAATAGAAACCAGTAACGTCGACCATGGGTTCGCTCACGTTTTGGGGGCCTTACAGCTCAGAGATCTTGCAACTCCTTTGCAGGATACGAACGTTCTAACAAAGCTCCTGCTGTCTCGTTTTTCAGGCCACTGAGTGTACTGTAGTTTGCCTTTCCGGTCCCTTTCTGAACCTAGCTCTCCGACCTATGAGTGGAGCTTCTGTACAGCCCCAGATGCCTCCACGAAAAAAGTCAAAGTTGAGGATTGTCCAATGTAGTCTTCGTAAATAGAGCCCTCATATAGGCCCCTACATTAAAGAAACGATTGAGTTCCGCTTTCGAAAAATGAACTCCGAATGCGGGTATCTTTAAGATCTCAATTTGCAATCATCATGCCGCGCTTACATTCCTTACAATCTGTCGGCGGGCTGGTCGAGACAGGCTCGGGGGGTTGGGTTGATTGGACATCGGTTTGCTGACGAGATTCGCTCAGCAGTCCCGACGGGTTCGCAAAGCCGCGCGGTCTGCAGGGCGGACCTGTGGGCTGCTTCGGGGATGGACCATTCGACGATGTCTTTTCACACCACGCCATGTGTCTAACGAGAAGCGTGACACACACTCGGAAGATAACCGCATCGTAAGCGGTCCCCGGGCTTACACATTTGGCAGGATCAATCTCCGCCGAAGAAAAACGATGTGTTGAACATCATGTTCGTGGCTACGATTGCTACTACTGCTACTACGACTACGCTACGATGTCGAGTAATGCAGTTTTCTTGCCACATTTGGTACCATGCCGCCTGCTTGAATTGCGGGCCTGCCCAGCAGACCGTACTCATGCATATTCAGCCCCGTTGTACATGCAATCCATATGGCTCAAGTGAGCTGAGCTAACGTACTCTAACAGCACGCCAGCCATTCAAGTAGAAATGACGGGCTCCCCGCTATCTGCAAGTGCAAATTGGATTGTTGGTTCACACAAGGTGCAGAAGAAGATCGCCCATTGCATCAACATCATCCTTTATTCTGAGGAGCTCACGGTGAACGGGAGCCATATTTCAACCCCCAAGCTGTCACGCAACAAGGAATACTGCCGCCACCACGACTGCTACTACTACTGATAAGAGACTACGTGTGCTACTGACAATACTACGTATTGCCACTACTACATCATAGTATTGTCAGTAGCACACGTAGTAGTGGTAGTACCACGATTACCACTGCTCGTGCTACCAGTGTTACCACTGCTACCGACCATGTGCGAAATTTGGTAACCGCTGAGGTTGTTGGCTCACCCTGACACGTGCTTCTGAATGTAGTCGATGTTGTCCCAATGCAGCCCAGCAGCCCAAGTGCTGCCATCGCCGGGCGGCGTTGTGCCGCTGCGGAACAACAGCTCGTTCTCGGCAATATTGAAGGGGTGTTGTGTGTCGTGTTGTGTTGTTTTTAATCATGGTGCGATTGGAGTTCCCTAAAGATAATGTCTATGTTTTGCTACGATTTCAAGCAGGGCTTGCCGGATTTGAGTTTTATCAGCACTGCGTAGAATTGTATAGGAATCAGAGCTCTGGCATCGGGTCTTCTGAGGGAATTGAATGAAAGAATCGAGGGAATCTAACGCTTGCGCGCCTTGATGCTCGTCCTAGGGTTTCGAGTTGGGTGGGCAGGGTTTGCGGGACTTTTTTGCGAGAGTTCTGTGGTGGGGCGTTGAAAACGAGAGACAGGTTTCAAAAGGATTTAGGATTGGTGGCTTGTAAAGGCCTCTGCACAGGAATTCCAGGGTTGAGGGTTTAAGGTCTTCAGGTTTCGATGTTTGCGGTTTACCTGCTAACTTCACAGGATAAATCATGGACTGTCGGGATCAAAACTTCTGGCTGTCCCAATGCATTTCCGGCATGCGACTCTGGCATCGCAGGATTGACTGCGCTTTAATCCGGATTCTTACAGCCTTGTATACGGCTTCGTACAAAGTTGCGTAAAATTTATTGCTTTAGAGAGGTGCTTGCGGACTTTGTACAAGTTCCCGTTAAGGAAGCCGACTGAAGTTATCATACCAAACAGGGAAGTAAAGAAAACAGTTATGCTTTGCGTATCGTGCTACCTCAGAATGACGTCTATAACACCCTATAAACACCCATAGAACTTGCACAAAATCATGAACCCTTGTAAGACCTATTACAAAACCTTGCCAAACCTTGCAAACTAACCCCAGGAGCAATCATAAAGCAACTCATGTAAACCTGCAAACACCCCTGCAGAACCGAGAGTCGCCGGCAAAGGGCTGCAGCTGCCCCACCTGCCCCACCTGCACACGACAGTCGTCTCGTGCGCTTTGTGTCAAAAGGCTTGTCTATCACCGGCTCCGTTATGTTGGCAAGCTCCAGTGGTTGAGGACAGCTGATGTATACATAAGGTTTTAATTGAAGAAAAAGGTAGACTATGTACTGGTGATATCACCAAGGAAGTATGATGTGATGAAGATGGTGATGATGACGGTGATGATGATGATGATGGTGAGGATGAGGATGAGGATGATGGTGATGGTGATGATGATGCTATGTAGATGGTGATGGCGTTGAGGCGGACGATAATCATCGTCATCGCCATCAACATCGCTCGGCCCTTGACGAAAAGCGAGATGGGAGGGTAGAAGGGCGTGGGGGAACAATAGGGCAGCAACAAACACCTGAGGCTTACGACTATGTTTCAACAACCACAATCGGAACAGTAAGTCCGTAAGTCACTGGCTCCTAAACCAGCTTGGAAGCATTTCAAGAAACCCATCTACAGCCATCCAAGTACTAGCGGATCGGCCTCCTCTTCGTCGTCGCTGGTCCATGCCTTTCAATCGCGCCGCATCCATGTTCAGTGTTCTTCGTTGCGGGGACCTAGAGAGTCTGTCAACTAAGTTGGCACAGGGAAACCAAAAGGTCATGCAAAATGTTTAAACTGCTAGGCTGCTGGGGGGGTCTTTGCTTGCTATTGTCCGTCTTTCTTTGCGATCCGGGGCCGATCAGCATCGTCATCATCACAATCACCTTCACCATCATCATCAGCAACGTCAACAGCGCTCGGCCCTTGACGAAAAGCGAGATCGGAGGGTAGAAGGGCGTGAGGGAACAATCGGGCAGCAACAAACACCTGAGGCTTACGACTATGTTTCAACAACCACAATCGGAACAGTAAGTCCGTAAGTCACTGGCTCCTAAACCAGCTTGGAAGCATTTCAAGAAACCCATCTACAAGCCCGACAAATCATCCTAAACCACAGATCGCCCATCAATGCTCACAGGTCCTGATTACTTGCTCAAGGCTCGAAACCCTGCCGAAAGCCATCCAAATACTAGCGGATCGGCCTCCTCTTCGTCGTCCTCTTCGTCGTCGCTGGTCCAGGCCTGTCAAGACGTCCGAGGTTTTGGCAAGGCTTTACACGGCATTAGAGTTTCTGAACATTACGGCTGCCTTTTGTCCAGTGATAAGGGCGTCAATGGGTGTGAAAAAGCTTTTTCTGGGCCTAGCTTCCAATCGCTGCGCATCAATTTTCAATGTTCTTTGCGGTGACCTGGAAAGGCGGAGCGCGGATTTATGTTGTCTATTTTTTCTGGTTTTTTTGTATATTTTCCTGGTTTCAGTTCTGTTTTTTCTTGGTTTTCGGAATTTAGCCTGGTGGCCGTGACCGGTTCCCGCCTCTGACTGGACTTCTTTTTTGTGCATGTTTCTGGTTATTCTTGTCTATTTTCCTGGTTTTAGTTGTGTTTCCCTTGGCTTTCGGAATCTAGCCTGGTGCCGTGACCGGTCTCCGCCTCTGACTGGAATTCTCTTTTGTGTACTTTTCTGCTTTTTCTTGTGGATTTTTCGGAATCAAATCTTCCCAAACCTGTCCGCTCGTCTCGCGGCAACTGCTGGACTGTCAGATAAACACGCCCCTTGATTCGGCGAGTCCGGTTCATCATAGCTTAAACACGCCTCCCTCATTTGGCGATTCTGGTTCATCATATACAATAAACATATCTTAAAAATGCTCCCTCATTTGGCGGTTCTGCATTCATCAAAAAGCTTGCTTAACACGCCCCCTCACTTGGCGATTCCGGCTCATCCTATATTTAAACACGCCCCCTCACAGGCGATGCCGCTTCATCATGTATCTTAAACACGCCCCGTCGTTTGGCGATTCTGGTTCGGCATGTATCTATAACACGTCCCAAACACAATGATGGCATCAGGAGTTTCAAAAAGGAAATTCATGCACTTTGCAGCAAGCTTGCACGGTTTAGAACAGCGGGGGGGTTGGGGGGGGCGTAGCCCCCCCCATTTGCAAACACAATGCTCGCATGATGGGTCTCAAAAAAAACTATATGCTTCAGAGTAACCTCGCACGGCAAAAAAAAAAACGGAGGGGGGTTGGGGGGGGTCGCAGCCCTTTTCCGCCCCCCCCCCCCCAGTTGCAAACACAACGCATGATGGGCTACGAAAACACTCGAAGCAAGCACGGCTCAAAAAAGCGCGGGGGTGTGTCGTTCATCCTTCCTCGCCTGTTCGTCTCTCTTCTTCCGCTAGCACTCTAACATAATATAACATAGTAAACCATAAGAATGACATGAGATGGTACGACACCACAAAACTGATGTGACATTGTCTGACATAGCATAACACAGCTTATTATAACACATAATCACATCGTAAAACAGAAAGCAATACACTATAATATAACATAACATAGTACAAAACAACATCTTGGTTTATACTGTAACATATTGTGACTTAATATCTAGTGTGTGTGTGTTTATATAACATAAAAAATATTCAGTATATTACATAATATTATGTTACATTATGTTATGCTATGTCATATTATGTCATGTCGTATTATGGTATATTCTAATAAACTGAATTATGTACTACTCTATTGGTTGCATCTTTCTGTCTGTATCTATTTAATGGTCTTTCTCTTCCGTGGTTTTCAAGCTTGCTTGTTTCTTGTGTTGTTTGTTGCAGTCTTCCCTTGTTTCTGTGTGAATAGTTGTTTCTGTCCTCCTCTCATTCTCTGTGTGCTTCTATGTCGTATGTCTCTGTCTTGAATTATGCCTTTCTTTCGGTGTCTCTTTCCTGCTTTATTGCTCTGGTCTTTGCTTCTTGCTGTCTATCCTGCTTTCGTTCTTGCGTGCTTTCTTTGCTCCGTATTGTCTTTCTTTCCATCTGGTCGTCCTTGCTTGCCTTCTGTCTTTCGATATTAATTTCTTCTGTTCTGTCTCTTTGTCTTTCCTCCGTCCTTATTTCCTTGCTTCTTTTGGTCCTTCCTTGTTTCTCTCCTTGCTTCTTTCTACCTGTCTGTCTTTCTGTCATCCTTTCTGTCCGTCTTCTTCCTTTCTTTCGTTCGTCCTTCTTTCGTCTTTTTTCTTTCTTTCGTCCTGCTTTCCTTCAGTCCTTTCTTTCTTCCTCCCCTTCCTGATGTGTCTTGCTCTCTATTGCTTTCTTCCTTTATTTCCGTCTTGTTTCTTTCTTTCGTTCTTCTTTCCTTCCGTCCTTCCTCTCTTTCTGTCCTTCGTCCTGTCTCTCTTTCTTCCTTTCCTGATGTCTTGCTTTCCTGCTTTGTCCCTTTGCTTCTGTGCCACTTTCTTTCTTTCCGGCTTCGGTGTCTCTCCTTCTTTCTTTCGTCTGCCTTCGACCTAAAATGACCTAAAACCAGAAAAATATACAGAAAAAAACAGAAACGAGAAGTCCTGAAAACATGTCTAAACACCTAGGCTTTGTGGGGGCTTATGATAGGTGCTGTCCTTCTTTTTGGCGATCCGGGCCCCAATGCCCTCGTTGTGCTGTGTGAATCAAGCCGTGCTCTACAGTTACACAGGCTGCGCTTTGAATCGATGCGCCATTAAAGTATTGCTTTTTCGGCTTGAGTGCTCTACATCAAGGACCTCCAATCTGGTCTGCGTCGCAACTCATCAGCCACACATAACGGCCCGGTTGCGTTTTCAGACTAGATTCACTAGATACTCCAAAGCGGCAAGCAGTTGCAATACAAACCCTCATATCGTTCGCCCTGGTCGTCTGACTCTACCTAAAATGATTTGCGATCCTTGTTGCCGAGTTTGAAGGTTCGGTGGAGAAATCGCGGAAACCACATGTGCTTCGGCTATCTGGTCAGCGACGACACCCTCACCAACACCGAACCCACACTCGCCCTGCTGGAAGAATTCTGGTGGCACAGAATCTACATAAACTCCCAGGACTCAGCCGAAGCCTCGCAATCAAATTGCAACTGCACGAAAACACTCAACATTACGAAGCCAACTTCAGTCAGTCCTCTCGGCCAGCCAGCTGGTTTTCGAGGCGTTGTTGCTCCTAGGACATGCTGGGACGCGCCCTTACCCGAAAGGCACCAACAACCCAACGCTCGCAATTGGAGCTCGGGGCCGCTGAAAGCCGGAACCGCCGAACCTCGAAACCCTCAAGGCTCACAGGACTGGGGAACCCATGCTCGTCTGAGGAAGAACTTCGAAGGATCAGTGCAAGCCCTGGGGATCGTCCAAGCCTCATGAAACTGACGATCCCTGAACTGAGAAACCCGCAGGGCCCGCAGGGTCCCCCGAGGCCCAGGCCTAAATTCTTCAAAACTGCACCTGACATCCCACTCAGTAGCACCCTGAAGGACAAATCCCAAAGCTCAGATACTAGCTAGATCTGACCTCCCAAAGCCAAATCCGACATGTCAGAACGGTGGACAAGAAAGCAAAAGCAGAAGAATCGCGAACCCGAATGCGAATGCCCAAACGACAGAAACAAAAAGCACGACAAGCCCATCGGTAAAGGCCGAAACCTTCACCGGCCAACAACATCCGCCATCGGCAAGAGACCACAACCCAAAACCAAAAATCGATGCAGAGCCACGACGCTCACCTTCAAACAGGCCCAACAGTCTCTGAAGCCCAAATCTGCGCAGATACATAGCTAATCATAGCTACCTAGAAGCGTAGTGGCTTCTTGTTTACAAGGGTACGAAACATGGCACCCTATGGCGCACTGAAAGCCTGACTTGCAAGTATCCGTCAGCCTCCATGCAAGCCGAGTCACTCGCAGGGCATCCTGAGCTGATCACACTTTGAGCTCTGCGTGGGGTCAGACTAGAACGACGGCCTGGAACTCCCAACCCAAGCACGGCCTTGCTTTCGTCTTTGTGGCATGCCGAGCCTTACGACTCCAAGTATATGAGGACCACACCTACTTACTTCCTGCCTAAGATCTGGAAAAATCCCTGGCTTGAGCAATTTGGAAGTTTGGCCTGAGGAAACCGTAAGAGCGGCCCCAAACCTGACATGACCCGTAACACGAAACCAAAGTCCGACAATAAGAAAACTAGGGCATCGGATCATCGAACAAAAAACTAGCCTGAGTTTGGCCTCAGGCAAGGGCCACATCTAGCAGTCATGGGTGGTAAAGGCTTCAGGGTTCGAGCACAGGTCGGCGAGTGCAGCTCAGGCGCCCGGAGCCTCGCTCGCCGCAAAACCAAGTAGGCCACCTGGGTGTACTCCGATGGTCGGAGCTGCGGATTCAGACTGATTGTTCCGTCCATGTTGAATGCAATGTGGCCATCGCCATGTTGATTTTAAGCTTTTTGCATGTAGTCGTCGTAGTGCTAGCCATTGCGCTAGCAGCGGTGGCGGCAGAGGCAGTATAGCACTAGTAACACAAGCAGTAGCATCCGAAACTGGCGCTGAGCAGTACAGTCGATTGTTTTGCAATTGCAGTCTGACAGAGGCCTGCGGAGCTTGAATGCCCAGACCACTATTACTTCCTAACTTGTTTCAGCCCTGTGGCCATCTACGTTTGGGAACAGAGCGCAGCCTCCCGTGCAAGCCCCTTGTCCGACTAGGCATCACCGTGAGACGTGTTAAGAATGTTGAAATATGCCTGACTGTCATCACCACGTCCCAAGTTCACCAGCGTGTGCACTGCCAAACTCCACCGACTCCGCGTGCCATTGACGAGCGACAGAACATCGAGCATGACCCTTTGTCTGGATGTAAATGCTGGCTCTAAGCTGCAGATCAGACCATTAACTACGCACGTCTCACTAGCCTTATCCGCCACTAGCTTCCAAGCCAAGGAACCACCAGCAGCTCCCATCCTCCAGCATAGCGGTCTAAAGGAGGTATGTAACGAAGGTGCCAGTGTAAGGGTTTGATTCTTTGGTAACAACATCTCTGCGCACATTCATACTATGATATGCCCCGGGGCCTCTCCCCTAACTCCTCAAGCACTCACGTACATCCTGCATGCAAGGGGTTAGGAAGGGAGTTCGTGTGTCAGAAGCTAGAAAGAAGTCGCTGGATCGTCAGAGCCTGAGGGGTCGTGCAGGCTGACGCAAATTCGTGCTCGCTAAAATCATTCTAGCAATACACATGTACGTGTGGGGGACATAAAGGGATGTTACTAACTGTATTGAACATTCAGATACGTATATATATATATATATATATATATATATATGTAGATATATAACGATGCATACATACATACATACATACATACACACATATATATGTTTGTGTGACTACCATTTCGTGACACAAATAAGCAGCCGCAGCACAACACGTTTTTCTGGCTTCACCAGGATCCTGCAAACCTACTTGCGGCTGTAACCAAAGAGTGTAGTACGCAAGCATCATGGTTTCCGGGTTCAAACTGTTAATCACCATTCCATAAGGAGACGGGCCCATATAGGGGTCAAAAGGTTTTTACTTCGGTGATCTATGCGATGGAATTGTGTCGGGGAGCCCTTTTGAAAAGGCAGTTACCAAGTAATCAGGCACCCAGTAACATCCGGAAAGACAAATGAAACTATCAATGTCTATGCGCTACACCGCTACATCCTACAGTACATCCTTAGGAAACCCTTACAGCAACCCCGTAGGTTCGTTGCATGTCACACGTGAGCGAGCCTCGAGCCCGAATTTCCCCGTTCCCTGAGCACAGATCTCCAAAGCAAGCATTGACATTTACCTTCAGCTGTAAAACTTCGCGAATTAACTGCCGGGGCCTGTAAATTCGGGCTGTCGGAGAGTGTTGAAAATGATTCGTGTTCGATAGTTTCTAAGTCGCCTGCGCTGAACCTCAGTGTGCAGTAAGACGGTGCACCCATGTCCCATTTACCATGGGTCCTGAAACCCAAACCCAATTTGAAGCTCCATGGCTAGTTGTCAGCGCAGTTAAAAGCACCGACGTTGAGGTCTGAGGCAATTCCAATCCAATGCTTTTTACGCTGCTCATAACTCAGAACTCATAACCGATTACGACCATACTTTCTGTTACCAAAAACTGACTGAACAAGCCCTTATTGACACTCTCTCAAACCTTCCATACGGCTTGCTGACTACGCCCTGCAGCCGTGCCGCGCCCAGGTTGTGCGCTGCGCTCAGTGTCCGCAAGTGCCCGACCTTTCGAGACCCCAGCCCTGACACACCGAACTCTGACTAAACCCTCAACCATTCGATAACACCCCGGTGCCGGTGCAAACGGGTTCTGCAGGGTAAGTACCCTATCGGCTCCAACATCGTCTCACGTTGGCTGGTTGCTCTGTGAGTCCTTCGAGTGCTTGAGCTCAGCTCTGACAGTGCTCCATGATGTCGCGTGCCAGCTTCTCAAATGCTTCGTAGGATTCATTCTGAGCACTCTCGTCACTCCGTTTAGAGCCCAAATTTTGGCATCAAGCATTTAAGGTGTACCAGTTCTTTCCAAGGAGTTATGCCCTTCTTCTGGGTGTAGCTGGTCAACTACACCTGGATGTTGGGACTTGCGTCGGGGGGCCGTTGTGCTCAAGGATTCAGGGCTGAAGCCTACAGATCCGAAGGCAATAGTAAAACATCATTTATTAGTATATACTACAGTATATCATCAGTAAAATACATTATGGAGATGCCTTTGCCCAACAGCCTTCAGATGTGCCATCTCTTAACAGACTACACCTATAGATCATTTATAACTCCATTGAAGCAACCCTTAAAGGAACATGGTTAAAACTGTCAAGGCCGCTGCACCAAAGCCGCCAAGACAACTCTCTACTAGTCTCCGGCCGGAAGCCCTGTCCAATAAACCGAGGCTGATCGACGGGCGGGTCTAGGGTTTAGGGCGATAGTAATGGAAATAGGAGCACAGCAGTATGTACCAGGGCACAAACCGCGGCTGCCGAGACAAAACCCACGCAAACAGCAAACACTGCGTGTTGAACCGGAAGCAGGAGGGTTGCCTTCCGAAGCTTGCTCGGCGGCACCGGACATAGCTTAATCCCAGGATACTTGAGCCGTGCAGCTCGGGGCTCAAGAAATGCATGCAAGGTGAGTCATAATACTCCCCGAAGAGCTCAGTAGACAGACCCGCCCAACAAGGCAGACTTAGAAGGGTTTAATGATGTGTAAGTCGGCGTTATGGAGGAGACCTTGCAGCTAGCATGATGATTTCGGGCATGCTGTGCTGCATCATTGGACCGTTATCGGTGCAAAAGCCTTCATCACCGCAAACCGCGAAAAGTATAAAGCTCACAGAAACTGCCGAAACTGCAAGTGAAAGCACCCAAAACAAATCCCAAAACATGCAGCATTCTCATGACCACAGTAAGGCCATCAACACCCTTTTAAACTTGAACCCTGACCACAGACCCACCTCCAACGCCAGTAGCGCCTGTTCACAAAATGCATCTCAGCTTTTGGTGCTCTTCTTTGACGGACCATTTTGCCAATCAAACGTTGAACCCTGAAGCCTGAAGCTTGGAGTGCTCCTGCTTCGTTGAGCTTGATATGCGTTGTGTAATTCCAAACCCTCTTGAGTCGGCGCGTGGGTCTAGAGTCTAGGGCATATTTTATCCGAAGAATCGGAAACATGGCTTCGACGATTTGGATACTAGCAGTCTTTGTAGGATCCAGACATGCTGTATCCGGGAACCCATGCCTCTGCTGATCAAGCGTGAAACTTGTAACACTTGTCCTCTTAAGGCCTAAACCCTGAACCCGAAAGTTCCAGGCGATGAGGACGTTCAGGACGCACAAGTCACCAAGCCACAGAACGGCCCTTTCATTCTTCCCAACACGTTTTCGGTGACACGTAATGTGCCAACGAAAGCTGCTATGGCTTTTCCGAGGATTGCGTGTTTAGATCTTTCTACACTTGCAACAGAATCTCATGGGCTAGTGTTCCTTCGTTCATGTGCTTAAATGCGACCAGTCTGAACACAACAGCGTCTGGTGTTAGTTTATGCCGTACAGCCCAAGAAGAACATCCGGACTGGCGCTTAATGGGCCTAAGTTTCCGGCTCAAGATCGGTGGGCCTTTGGGCGACAGTTCAAGGTTCTGGGCCTGACTGGTTTACGGCTCCCTGTTCAGAGGTTGCGGCTCTTGTGTTTCTGGGACATCTCTACGTACCATCAGATTCAGGCAAGATACCCCGAAACGTACACGTTCGTGCCGATGAATGCCGACGACTTCGGAGCTTCCACCAAACACGAAGATCTCCAACGAAAGGCTGGCTTACCTCAAAGCTTCAATCGGAAACCCATACTCCGAGCCCCACCCTGGCAGGTTCTGTATGCCCCGATAGACCCACAACAGCAACCCAGAACTGATCCTACGAATTGGTTTGAAGGCTGTGTTTTTCCCCTGTAGCCCTCAGGGTCCTGCAGCTCCGAGAGCTTTTTCTTCTTGGCCTGGCTGCAACACTCTCCAGAACGACCCCAATTTCTCTGATGGAGTATTCTCTCAATTGCAGCACCTTCATTTGCGAACGTTGGAGCATTTGCAACCTTTGAGAAGGCCGCCTGCTACCGCCCAAACGGTCTACTTGTAAGATTCGGAATGCTGGGCGGCAATCATAGCTAACAGCGCACGATAACAAACGACGGCTTTTGGGTGTTGCATGCAGCGGCTCATGAATCTTGATGGCTAATCAGCTAATCTTGCAGTGTCGACAGGCAAGGACAAGAAGATTGTGGTCGGCGAAGCAACTTGCGCGAAAAGGATGTCCAAGAACCTAGAATCCTGGCCCCGAACTCTGAACTTAGTAACTTAGGGCGTCGGGTACATGCGCACACACATCATTGTACATGTGAAGATGTACACATGTATTTGGGCTAATCTCTCTGCCTTCGCCGACATCTGCATATATGCACCGTTTACGAACCTGTCTATCTCCTGTTTGTTTACAAGTCCATGCCTCACTGGATCAACGCTAGCATCTGTCTATCCTGGATGTGCATATACATGCAGGCTGGTGTTTGAAAAAGCCTTCCCGACACAGGCAAGCTAAACTCTCAGAGTCCCATGCCCTAAACACCCTCAACTCTGAGCAGTCTTAGCACACATTGCACCAGACTCTTAAGCCAACTGAAGGTTAAGGTGCGAGGTGAAGGTGTAGGGCCTTATGGACCTTGTGGCGTTCCGGTTCAGGCTTTCAGTCAAAGTCCGTATCCCAAACCCTCGTCAAGAGCCGTGCCTGGAGCCGTGCCTCCACTTTTGCCTGTTTCGCTGCCTGCCAGGCCAGCTTGATACATTGATGTGTATAAACAGCCCGCAGATGACCCTAAGCAAGCAATAGCAAGAAGGCAGTTCCCACCCTGACCTCAACTCTCGGGACCACGACGTCAGGCCGGGGCCGGAGTACCAACATGACGACATTGCTTCAGTGCAATATGAGCTATAGTCTAAGCTCCTATTATCCCTCTTAAGAGACCCTATAGTAGTCCCCTATATAATCCCGATAATAACCCCCCATTCGGGAGTTTAGACTATAGCTCATATGACAACCATCAAAACTGCACATTTCTGTCAGCTCTGCATCCCGACAGCACGCGACGACTGCATTCTTACGAGGGCCCCACCTTTACAAGAACGATACAGGCTTCGAAACCCTCCACATTCCAGCCCGATTAGCTTCAGGATACTGTCGGACGCGCCCTCGTCCCCTCAAGCTCGAAACCCCAAACCGTTTAAGTTTCGGATTTGGGGCCGACAGTATCGCAGTTTCACGCTGGTGATTTCCGGGTTTGAGGCCCGCAGGCTCTGTCCACGGCCTGCGGCTCAGGGCTTTTAAGGATCAGGCTTTCAGGTTGAAGGTTTAGTTTGAGCCTAGCAGCCTGGAGCGTAGTTTTCAGGACTCCTTTCGGAACCCTTCCACACGAATTTCTATGTTGGGCAGCTGTAGCCTAAGGGCAAGTATCAGATCAAACTCCAATGATCGAACAGACGCTGCGAAGCCCAACCCAAACCCCGACGAGACCTCAACAGCAAGGAAGAGGCGTAGGAGCGGCTTCTGGGATATCTTCAAGTACCAGCTATGCTTTCCGTCACTACACTCGAACCTTACTTTAGTGCTCAATGTCGGAGCTGGAAGTCGCTAATAGTCAAACGCATCAGCGGCAGCGCAGCCGCGGAAGTGAACTCCAAGGTTCCGGCCCGCTTTGTTGCCCTTTGCCGGGCCTGACATGATCGGGGCATCTGCACACTGAAACCCGAGGCTGAAGGCCTAAACCAAATCCGTCCAAGCCTCCGCACACAGGGCAATTTTTCGGGCGGTTTGATCGTGGGTGAGAAGGAGCCGCAACTCTACACCCTCAACATCTGTCCTGCAAGAGCGAAACTTACAAGATTTAGAGACCTAAGGCAGAGGAGACTACACCCCAACTTCTATAGCAAGACCAAAGCAAAAGGATCTGTCGGACCACCAGTACCGTTCAGAGCATCCCAAATCCGAGAAGGCCTCGAGAAACTGCCGCACATGACCGGCAAATCCATGAGATCGTGTAAAGCATTCAACAAACAACATGACGACACAGCCAGTAAACAATGCAGATCCACCTCATCACCGCCAGCAGCAATCTCATCATCAACATCTGACACCAATCGTTTCACTCACCAACATCGTCATCAGGATGGTCGTCATCAACATCGTCACACGGCTTCGGCTTTTGGGGGCTGTCGGGTGTAAAGGGATGAAGGATGAACGAAAAGTTGCAAAAATGAGCCGCCCTCAACCTCAAACTCCACGCCTTAACCCGTAAACCAAAGCCTGAACCAGAAGAGTTGAACCCGTGAAGCCGTGGCCTTGGCCAGGAAGCTCCCGGCTGCGACCTCTTTGAGGGTTCAAGGCTCAAAGGATCTGAGGTTTGAAGTCTCATGGTTTCGGAGCTGGGGGCAACAGGCTCAGGGTTGCGACAGAAAGCTCGGGGTTCAGACAAACTTCTTGCCCGCGAAACTGGCCATCGTATCCCTGGAAAGGGCAAGAAGGAAGGTCGCTGTGCTTCAGGCGATAAGGCTTGCGGGTTCTGGTACTTGGGGTTTAGGGCTCCAGGGATTTAGGATGTGGAGTTCTACCGATGCATGGAATGTCATGTAAATCCTAGTTCCTACCCTGCGAAACCGTCAACACCACCAAGAAATAGGCCCGTCGGGGACAGATGTCTGGGAAACGGTCCTGAGCACTGCGAGATGAAAGGAAACAGCACGGACACTTTATCGTGAGGGTTCTGGTACCTTGCATCAAGACGACTCAACTTACGAACCTCTCCAAATGTCTGGGCCGTTACCGTCGGAGGTGTCAACCACACAAAAAAAATCGAACCTCAGCATCCCAGGCCGGCTGGAGAGCGACGACCTCAGATGCAGTAAGACTTTACAACGGTAGGGAACTCTGTTCTTCACAATGGTTTTGGCGTGAAAGTGGGAGCCGAACTCGTCCTCTTCCTGTTGGACATCTCCTCAAACGTTCTCCCTTGGTTTGGTCTCTGCCCTGAGGAAGAGCTGTGGTATCTTGGGCTTAGGGTTTGCGGGTCTAGGGTTGCTGCAGCTCGCCGGCTAGCATGATTCAAACGTGGCCAGTGTCAGCTCTGATTGCCAGCAAGGATAGCAAACACCAATGTCACGACCACACCTGTCACGATCAGAAGGACCATGGTAACCATCATCGACCATCATGATCATCATCAGCAGCATCAACATGCATCAACATCCCCTTGCCCAGCATTTTATCGACGACTCCGTTGAAAACTCTCAACCCTGAGCCACAGAGTATCCTGCGCGGTCGTACAGCTACACAGCACGGAGCCCGACACAGCTTAACCTAGGGTCGTTCATAATTAGAACACGGTTTTGGCGGTTTTGTGGTACATTATACCATAAGTGTAATTAATAAAGGCACCACCAAAATAGTATAGGTAATTATTGAGGCTCCGATATTGTCTCAGTCGATGCACCGCTGCGAAACACGAAGCCTTCGACTGTGAATGCGCGGCTTCGAGCCTCAGAGTGTAACAGTGTAGGACAACCCTATTTAAACCCTAAACCCCTAAACCCCCAAACCCTAAACCATGCCCTACCCACCCGCCCGGTTAAAACTCACGCCACACGCCCATGCACCTGAAGGGCATTTGCTATGTGGTTGTTGATCCGGCGCCGCTCCTGGTGGAAGTCAAGCTTACCCACAACTTGCAAAAACCATCATCAAGGAATACATCCTAAATCATGTTGAATACACCCGTATGATTGTTGGTATATCCGTATATTCGTTAATTAAGCGGTTGCGGAGTACCTGAATGGGCACCAAAGGCAGAAGACTGAAGATGGGAACAACTTTAGGGGCTTAGGATTTGGGGGCTGGCAAGGACCTCTCTAAAAAGCTCCTCAACCTCTGCGCGCAGCTGCACTTCCGCAGATTGCGCCCGGAACGTGGATCCTGCCTCCACACACCTGGCAGGTGTAGAGCTGGCACTGCTAGTCTTCCAGTTTGGGTTTCTCTTAAAACTAACGGTGACTAACAGCCTTCTGTGGTTTCTGAGGATCATACTGCTTCGGGTCTGTATTGTTACTCATTACTCAGGACTGGAATTCAAACAAGCGTTTCTCTGGGGGATGGCGTCACTGCAACCGCAGTTTGTAGCTGTGCTGACATCAGCGATCATCAGCAGTGTGGCTATCCATGTTCTTGCCAATACTGCACGCCACATGATTGTCCTTGCGACTCTGACGATGGTGAGGTCTGATGCTGCTAATGCTGGTCATGCTGGGTAGTGGCATCTGCAGCAACAGCAGGCGGTGGAGACAACCCCCCCATCCCTGAAGCCGTGGACAACAAGCATGGGTACTTCTCAAAATTAAGGTCACTTTGTGGGTAGCCTAAATACTAAGTGAAGTATGATATTAGGGACCCCAAAAGGGACCATAATTTTGACAACCACCCGCATGAATACCTTGCCAACGCCCTAAACTGCTCACCCACAAACCAATCCCAAGGCCCGGAATGCCATGAACACCCCCTGCGCGGCCAAAATAATGACAGCAAATCACGCTTCTCAACACTGGAGTATCGCACTTCGAGGCCAAAATATTGGCAACAAGTCGCACTTCTAAGCACTGGAGCACCCCTTCGATGCCAAAACCACGGCCTGCATGATGACTGTCGCCCCATCTCCAAGCCGTTGCCTCCATTGTTGAAACGAAACGGCTACTAATGCGGTAAATCTATGTGATATACCGGCGAAGAAGATATACAAATAGGCAATAGTATTCTTGCTCTCGCAATGCGGAGCTAGGGCGGCCACACAATGGGGATAAATCTTGCGATAGATTATGTATTTCATATGACATTTATGGAAGCTTTCTTGCGACTCTATTGTATATTCTTGATTCGTAGCGATACAAATACTTCTTAGCGAAGTTCGTATTTCTTCATACTGGTGTAGTATTTCGAAACCAAAGCAACGGTAACAAATCGTACTTCCTTGCACTGGAGCACTGCTCCGAGACCAAGATAACGGCATCAAATCGTACTTCTTAGCACTAGGGTCTTTAGGGCACAGGCTCCTAGTTTCCCCCCCCCATATTTAAATCAACCCCCATTTCACCAATTTTATGAAGTCATGTATTTTTCTCCCCTCCCGCCCCTGACCGTTTGCTTTCAGACCCCCGGCCTGTGTTGTTTGGCCCGGGCACGGTGATTTTTGACCGCAGAACTTTGTTTTTCTATCCCTATAAGCATAAAATAAAGCAGAATATATGCTCCTTGTCCCCCCGGCCCCCCGCGCTTGATTCACGTCCTCCCTACCTCAGCAACCCCAGGAAATCTTGTATTTTTTCCCTGCCCCCCCTGGCGATCTGCTTTCAACCCCCCCCGCCTGTGTGTTTTTGGCCCCGGCACGGTGGGTTTTTTGCATTTTCAAAGGGCTCTGAGATATTTTGGGTTCAAAATTCCTTTTGAGGAGCAGACGCAGCTGGAACGACCTTTTGGGATTTGGCTTTCAGGCCCAAAACATAGGTTTTGCCGAGGAGCGACAAAAGCATGCTTTTGCTTAAGGGGGATGTACCGTCCTTTTTGGCATCGATTTTAGCTTTCAAGGGTAGCTGGCACTAGGTCAAAAACCAGGCTCGGAACAGGACGGAGCGTTTTCGCAAAAGCCTGCCGGGAGTGGGTTTTGGATAGAATGCCAAGAACCGGGTTCTGCATATTCAATAGGGATCCGAGATATTTTGGACTCCAAATCAGGTTTGAGGAGCATACGCCGCTGGAACGGCTTTTTGCGAATTGGCTTTCGAACCCAAAACATAGGTTTTGCCGAGGAACGACAAAAGCATATTATTGCTTTAAAGTGGATTTACCATCCTTTTTTGGCCTCGATTTTGGTTGGTCTTTACGGGCAGCTGGCACTGGGTCAAAAACCAGTCTTGGAGTATGACGGAGCGTTTTCGCAAAAGGCTGCAGAGACCTGGGTTTTCAACGAATATCCAGAATCAGGTTTGAACGGTTCCAGGGGGATTTGAAAATTTTGGACACTAAAACCGTGTTTTTAGATCACGCGCAGATTTACGGGATTTCTTGGATTTGGGGTTTTGAAGCAAAATCTAGGTTTTTGCAGAGCCATGGTGAAAAGACGAACATCTTTAAAAATAGGTTTAGGCGGATTTTTAGTTTCCCAAATCATAGAAAATGCAATCTGCGGAAAAATACCTAGGCCGGCAGCAGTAGTCAAAAATAGTAAAAAAGCCGTGTTTTCTGGTTCTTCATAGTGCGTTTCTGAATATTGCGAAGGTACTGCTGGTACTGCTAATATACGTGAGAAATCGCAAGCGAAAGTCTTGGGTGGCATTGATAAAAAACGACTTCATAAAGGAGTAATGCCTCTACGTCACCCCAAATATTTTTGCTTTCGTGACGCCTTTCCGTGCCGTCGTCATGGTGAAGGTATTGCCTGGTTGGGCATTTGAGGGTATTGATTTCTTTAGGGGACCCAAGTCTCTGGCCTGAGAATTGCGTATTTATATATTTATAATACGAGTAAACCTAATTAAACCCTAAACCCCAAACCGGAGATTTGCTTGGGGGGCTAATGATTCGGTACTTGGACTGTTACGGTTGATTTCGCCGCTCTCAGCCGATGGTAGGAACCTGGGTAGCACTTTGGGAAGTTGTATAGTTTCCCTACCCAGAGGGTCCGCATCTACTACCATTATATGGACTTAGTATTAGGCCCGAGAAGGCCAGCCCTACTATGATTTTAGGGACCTGTGTCCATCATGGTAGTCTTTATATAGACCCTCTTAGCTAGGTTTTACAGAAGTGGTACCTATTCATAAAGATATTCAGGACTCTAAGACTACAACCCAGGAACTTGCTTGGTCAAGTTTAGGATTTAGGATTTAGGGTGAGTTGAAACCTCCTAACCCTGATGGGCCTTGCATCCGAGCTACTTGTACCTTAGACCCTACATCCTGAGCCCCAACTGTTGCCGTCAGTTTTTGGGTAGTTGTCAAAATTGGGGTCCCTTTTTTGGGTCCTTCTCATAATATTATGGTACCTCATATTTAGAGTACCCAGGAAAGGGACCATAATTTTGACAGCCTCCCACGTTTTTCGTACCTCAAAATCAGCGAAATCCCGCGACTTGGCTACTTGCCCCATGCTAAACCAAACAAGACCCCGAAAAACATCCTTTATGCTTTCAATCATTCCTATCGAACCTCCTTTGAACCCTACACGCCACCCTCTTTTTGCCCAGCCCGACGCGGTGTCGGTTCGATCGCAGCACACGTTCCTCGCTTCCGACTTCGTTGTCTTGCACCAGTCCAACACCAGGAAGATTACGTACTTGGCCGAGAGTTTGAGGAACAAAGGGTGGTCCGAGATCAACTTTGCCGCCCCAGAGTACTCAGCAAGATGTGGGTTGTCTGAATCGGAAGACGCCATGAGACGAATGGTCACTGACATTGAGGCGATGCCAGAGGATGTCCGAGCACAGCTTACTATCCATGTTCATCTGTCTCTTCAAGGCATCATTCAGGACGACATGCAATGGTCTTTCACCGAGGACGGAATTGGCACTACAGTTCGGGCCACTATTCGATCCCGATTGACTGCGGCTTTCGTCGACCCGATCATTGATGCCGCCAAGTTGACCGCACGGCCTCCGATCGTCAACATCAACCACGACACTCGATTCATTTCGCGTGGAAGGTCCGAGTTCGCCAACAAGGCTGAGAATTTCGTTGGATTTCATGTGGTGGGGAGCTACTTGATGCTTGAGCTCCGAGCCCGAGGTTGCATTGTGATACATGGTTCTTCTTTCTGGTCGAAGATTACTTGTGATCTTCAGACGTCAGGGGACAGTGTCTACAAGCTGTCGAACGATGTACACGGCGATGGGGATACCCACGTTCGCTTCCGGAGGGGCTTCGCCATCTATGAGAAGCAACTTTTCAGCGAGAAGATGGTGACTGCATGCCTTCTCAATCCCGATCAGCTCATGAAGTGGAACGACGGCGTGAGAGTCCAGACTATCAGCTCCCCGAACTTGGTTCAGATCTGGGAGGATAGGACGGAGATCACTTTCACAACGCCGATTGATGCTGGTCGATGGTTCAACCAAGAGAGTATTGCACGCATCCAGTCCGGAGCGCAGAGCGACGCCTTTGCCGAGCATGCCTCCGTGACGTGGCAGGAGTTTGACATTGCCATGACGATCCCCGAGCCCTACTATGATCAAAGGCATTACTGGTTCAAGATCGATGATTATTCGACAAACAGTAACATGTCCGTGATCGGCAAGGTGTTCTATTGTCCGGAGTGCGAGAAGACCAAGGACATCAACTTGTTCAAAGAGTCCTCGTTCAAGACAACAGGCAATGGCTACCCCACCTATTGCATTGGGTGTGCACACACTGCTGCTCTCAAGAACCAAAGCCACTTTTCTGTTTACAACGACTTGGAACAGTACCACAAGTATGCCTTGGCTTGCGCCGTCTACATCTATGACAAGGAACTTCAGTTCGTTCGGCCGCACCTCGACATCTGCGACTTCATCAAGAAGTGCGTACCTGCAGTCTACAAAGAGTATGGCAAGGTGGTCTCTCACTTTGGAGCACTCAGGCTAACGGTGCAGCAGGCTTGCGAGTATGCCGGATGCGCAAAGGCCAAGCAACTTGGTTGGGATCGTGCTTACAACAGCGAAGGTGATCTGTGCTACATCTGTTACTACGATGGTGGGAATGCGATGTATGCCGGGTTCATGCGTGCATTGCTTATTCCTGAAGAACGCAATCAACTGTTCAACGTCACCAACGTGAAGGAAGAATTGTTGGGCGACACTTTGGAGCTCGCGCTCGGGATATTGACTATTGCAATGCGGTACCCTCAGTATTTTCCGAATTGGGGTGGAGTGAAGACCACGAATGCGTGCATTCGAGGAATTGAACGGTCTTTCTTCGTGTATGCCAACGTGGAGAACATCAAGTTGGTGACTGCCCCAACCCCGAGAAAGCGCAATCCTCCAAATCGGGAAGAGGAGATCATCAAGTTCATCGAGGGGATGACCGAAGTGCTGCACTCTGATTTCACGGCCATAATGGACACCGATGCACTTCGTCCAGTTTCTGGGGAAGTTGCAGAGGGTTCAGGTGAAGTGATTGACGAGGGCATTGGCGGCGCAGAGGTTGCACCTCCTGTACCTGAACAAGCTGATGTTGACATGGGCGTTCCGGAGGAAGAGGCAAACAACGAACTCGCTGAGATGCACAAGAAGCTTAAGGGCCGCATTGTCGAGAACCTCACGATCCTTCAGTCAGGTACTGCAGACATGGACAACAACCGCACGCTGACGTTTTGCGTAGCCTGCGGGGACTCGAGACATACTGTGACCGAGTGTCCCAATCGACAGCTCGCCGAGGTGGCGATGTTCGGTTTGGAAGTCATGCTCAAGGCCATGCTCGATTACCCCAATGTTGTCTCCACTGCAAGTGCCAGCGCAGAGCCAGCTTCAGCCGAAACAGCGAGGCCGGCAAGCATGGAGGTCGATGAGACAGGCAGCACAGCGTCATCTGGGCGCAGGCCCAAATCGAAAGCACGTCCTCGACGTGCTCGGCTAGTTGCTCAGGATTGGCGATTGATCATGAACGACAACCTCCATGTTCTCGCTCAGGACGTCGGACACAAC